TCCCTTCCTAACTCGACCCTCTTTCATTTCATCCCAAATTGTACCTGCCTCATTAAACTTTCCACTAGAGTAATATATGTTTGACATTTGTACATAGCCCAAGGAACTTCTAGGCTCCAACTCCTTTAGCTTATCTGATGCTAACTTAGCTAAGCCAGTCTCCCCATGCTTTTTACATGATCCTAGAAGCGCACTCCACACCACGGAATCTGGCTCCATTGGCATCTGACCTATAAGTTTCTCAGCCTCGTGAATTTTCCCGGCTCGCCCATACATGTCAACCATGCAGGCGTAGTGATCAATTTGAGGGACGATACCATAATTTTCACGCATGCAGTCGAATATTTTAATTCCATCTTCTACCAGTCCAGCATGGCTGCAAGCACAGAGAAGAGCAACTAAAGTGGCGGAGTCCGGCTCGAGATTCATTTCAGAAAAGAGATGTAATGCCTCTCTTGCTCTTCCATGCAGGGCGTAAGCCTTGAGCATGGAATTCCACGAAACCACATCACGTTCTTCAATCTCATCAAAAACTTTCTTAGACATAGAAATGGAAGCACACCTAGCATAGGCATGGATCAAGGAATTCGTGAGAACAGTGTCACCCTCAAATCCCGACTTAATTACTCGCGAATGGACTGCAGCAGCATGTCTCTCCGTTACAAGGCCTGCACAAGCTTTTAAAACAATAGAGAAGGTGTACCAGTCTGGTGCTAGACCCTCTTGACACAACTGGGAAAAGAGGAGTAGTGCTCTTTCTGGGTCCCGCTCTGCGAATATCGTCATAATGCTGGTCCATGAAACGATATCCCGATGGCAACTTGTCTCCAAGAAGACCCTATAGCAGTCAACAGCATTCCCTCCAAGATCTGAATAAGCCTTCATTAAAGCAGTAGCCACCTTGACTTCGGATAAAAACCCAGTTTTGACCGTGAGGCAGTGCAATTGAAGACAAAACCTAAAACACGCCTTCATCTCTTTGTCTGCGCTTTCGCAGAAGGAAGTAAAGACGCTGAGAAGCGTGGCACGATCAAAACTAATCCCCATATGATGCATTTGGATGAAAAGGTCAATACCTCGAGCTCCAAGTCCATGAAACTGAAACGCTGCAATCATTGAATTCCACGTTACAGTGTTGCGGTATTCCATGCTATTAAACACGCTCCAAGCCTCATTCCCACCATGACACTTGTTATACATCATGATAAGCGTGTTCGCAACGTATAAACAAGCGTCCAAACACATTTTCAGAGCGAGAGCATGTACCTGCCTCCCGAAACGCCCCTCACCCTCGCGGCACGAGCTCAGCACACTTGCAAATGCGAACTCATTGGGGCGGCATTCCGCCAACATTGCGGAAAACAGCCGAAAGCATTCTGAGGAGTGCTCACGTTGCGCGTAGCCCGAGATGAGCGCGGTCCAAGAGACGAGGTTTCTGTGAGGCATTTCGTCAAACAGTTGGTGCGCGTAATCCAAGTGACCAAATTTACAGTACATATTAATGAGGTGATTAGTGACAAACGTGTCAGGACGGTTCATGGGATTGTGGGCCACCATGTGGCGGTGCAGACAAAGGCCTTCTCGGAGGCGACCGTGGCGAGCGCACTCATGGAAGAGAGTGGCGTACGTTTGGTGGCAATGGGGCCGTGGTTTTTCATCAGCTTCAATGATCGCATAGAAGAGTGACAGAGCTTCTTTGAGGCGGCCGCGCGTGGCGAGCACGCGGACCCTGTCGAGGAGATTATCGGCTTCGGGCGTGAGCCTGGAGAGTGTGGGAAGATTTCCTGAGCTGAATCTTCTGACTGAGACACGCCGCGCGCGGGTAGTCAAGCGTAACATCAAGCTTTTTTCTTCCTTATTTTATTTTTCAGTAGCGAGCCGTTACGATTCTAGCGCCTAGCAATACGAAGTTTTAAATCAACTTGGCCAGCGAAGTTACGTAACCACGAAGTTATGAAACCCCAACCCCACCCCCAGGGCGGATTTGCAGGTCACGTTCATTTTATTAATTTGAGTTTAAAATTTAAATTTTATTATAATAAAAATTTTTTAAAAATATAAAATAGTATATTAAAAGAGTGAAGAAGGCACAAACACACTTATATATGGATATTGTAGCTTTTCATCAAAGATGAACCACTACTAATCTTTATCACATGGAAATGTCGGTGAGATAAAAGAGTTTTTTTTTTTTTTTTGGCTGAATAAAGAGCAAGTTATTTAAGCTGACGAATTTAGACAGTCAACATGTGGTGGTTTGGAGATTTTAAACCCTACACTTTATACTAAAATTAAATGTGTAGTAACCGCAAGACTATACTCATAATATCCGTTTCCTCTACAAAATAACTTATGATTTTAGTTTATTATAACACTATACATTGTACATTTATTTTTCTTATTGCTTATGTTTAGTAAGATAAAATAAGAAAAACACTAAATCATGAAATTAAAAGTAGCATAACGTAACTAGAGCAAAAAAAAAAAAAAAAGTAGGGCTGTGAGGGTGGCGGTGGGGCTGCAACCAGTGGTCTGTGGTGGGGCTGGTAGTGCTGCTTGACGACTCGGTCATGGTGGAGGAGGGGAGGGGTTACTCGGAGGTTAATAGGTTATTATCTGATGCGTTTTTTTTTTTTTTTTTAATAATAATTAGTTTCCCATGTTATATAGATTTCCTGGAAATTAGTCTCAACATATGATAAGGTCTAAGAATGCAAAAATTATAGTTTTTATATGAAACATGGGAATCTTACATATATTACCATTATGCTTCTCTGTCTTCTGAAACTTCTCAGTCTCTTTTTACTTCCTATATGTAAATTCAAGCATGACTAAAAACAGATGTAGTATATACTATACATATGCGCGCGCATATATATATA